TCTTATGTGTTGAGGGTATGTCTGCTCATGATTTGAATTATTAGTATTAGCATTAGCTTAAACCCTGAAGTGGAATTTTTGTTGTAAAAAATAAATGTATAATTGTATTGCTGCTAATAAATATTTTAAAATTACTTAAAGAGCGAAATATGTAATTAACTATTTGCATGGAAGATAATCGGGATTCCCCGGAAACTGTTATAAAAGTAAAATCATTTAAAAGAATGAGAACAATTAAATTTTGACAGTACTAGTAGAAGTGACTATTACTAGTAGATTACTAGTACTAGTACTACTAGTACTCTATATGCCAATATCATAATAATAATAATTAATGATTAATGGGAATTAATGGCATAGTATAGCCGTGTCGGTTAATTTTAGCTTACAAAACACAGCTGTTGTTTGGTTCTTTTGAGTCGCCGATCACTTTGCTTTAAAAACAAAATTGTTTGTCTTTGTAACTCAAAATAAAGTCTTTTTGTCGGGAAAATAGAAAAGATAGTTGTGGAATTTCCCAATTTTAAATATAGCTCACGCCAGTCATGAGCACTCTCCTTTCTGAAGATTTCGTAAGTCTTAAGAAACACACATTTAAATCATTTACACAATTTATTGGATGAGTAAGTTACCGGTATAAAGTAATTGCATTTTTAAATTTATTATTTCAGTTTCTTAAGTATTTGTTGTAGTTTTTTTGTGGAATCTACATCGTGACTAGGTTGCTAAGTTACTCTAGTGCACTGCGACTGTAACCAACTAACCACGATGCTGATGGCGATGGTGTCATCAGTGAATTGAGTGAAGTGCCAATTTTGGACAATTTAATTTGATGTTAAAGTCAATGGTCAGCGCGTTCCCCAATTGTATCCCACGATATCGGCACATTCCAAAATTTGGCTAAATCTGAGGACGAATGCCACGGCGTCTTTTTGGGTGTTTATTATTATAGTTGCAGTGAATTAGGGTTCAGGTTAGGCCATAGCCATAGGCAGGAATCGATTTAGGGTTCAGCAGTTTCAGTTAGGCAGTTAGTGTTAGGCATAGGGATCGATTTAGGGTTCAGGTTAGGCATAGGGATCGATTTAGGGATACATTCGTGAAAGAATTAACTGGCTGTGTCAACCAAGATGGTGGCATTCGTCCCCGTATTTTACCCAAAATTAAATAATAGAGTATAGAGGTCTATGCCTACTATACAATACATTTTCATTTAATAGCCTATTTATTATAAATGCAAATGAAAATTTTAATACTTTTTTCAAGGGGAATAACTCTCTTTAACAAGTTTACGTCTCCCAGGTAGGAATCAGAAAAAAAAATAGAAAGCAACAACTTACAAAGAGATGGCGCCGTAACTTATAACACGGCCGCCATAAGGTTGCAGCAACCCATGAACTTTGACAGGTTCACACGTGAACTTTGACAGGTTCATGGGTCGTGGCAACTAAGATGGCGGACGTGGAAAAATAAAATAACTCAAATTTGCTATATTTAGGAATAAAACATTAAAATTTAATGGAACAAATGACCACTGGTACATACATTTTATGGTAAATGTAGCTACTTTATTGTATCCATCTAGACATTTGGCAAAAAAGCGTCAACAACGTGCGGTCGCCCCTTTCCTTGTGTAATTCACTGGGTGCACACTCAAAATAATTCACTGTCAGTAAACTATACCTACCCTAAATGTATCATCCCTAAATGTATCCCTAAACCTAACCTGAAACCTAAATCTATCCCTAAACCTAACCTAAACACTACATGTATCCCTAAACCTAACCTGAACCCTAAATTTAAATCTAAATCTAAACCTAACTTAGCCCTAATTGTATCCTTCAACCTAACCTGAACCCTAAAACTAGCCCTAAAGTCTCAAGTAAAAAACCTGTGCAGCTGCAGTTACTCACTGGCAAGAAAACAATAAAAATGAAGAAAAACAAAAAATAATTATAGAATAAATAAATAATGAAAACCCAACTACAGTTTCATAGAATAAACTTTTACACACTTTATTTCAGGTTCCACTAAAAAGAATATCAAGAATATGAATAAAATACAATGCTGTCCATGCATGCAATTCATTTTCAAACATGGCAGAGAAAAAAAATTATAATTACCCAACAAATGAAATTTTAAAATTATTATTAATTAAGCAATAAAATTTAATTAACACATGCCATTTTCATATTCAGTAAGGAAAATTTAACTCTATTAACAAAAAAATTAGGTGAGTGAATCCAAAACAGAAACTTAACAATACATGTAAATGACGTCGGGGCGACATCTCTTTGCATTAGCCTTTCTTACAATCATTATCATGTCAGACTAAGATGTTAGTCCCGGCGGTAACAACCTAACCCTAGTTACGCCACTGCTCCCCACTCAGAAGTGAAATTAGAAGAGAAAAGCAGACTATCAATCACTCCTCTAAGTGGCTTCTAGATGGGCATTATGCTGCTAATATTATATTTTGCTTTCGAAATGAAAGCAAGAAACCATGTTTGTCCAGTTTATTTCAACAAGGTTTTCCATTCTCAGATCATTTTAATTTATTTAGAAGATTTAGAAATAGTTTCTTCTGATCAATTATTAATTTGAAAAAAATCCATTAATTTTTTTCATGGAGGGGGGGTCTTACAAAAGGCACCCAACCTTAATTTTATATTAATTCAAATGAAGAAAGTTATATTAATTAGAAATTCAAAATAAACTTTTTAAGTTTCTGCATTTGTAATTTGTTTGTAAATTTATGCAGTTTCATTTTCACTCAGGCAAATCACATATTAATAAATGACCCTTTTGTAAATATTTCCTTTCTTCTTTTTATGCCATTTAGATACAACCTATTTTTAAAATGACCTGTTTTAAATAGCCATACAAAATCTTTAGTCTAGACAATTTCTATAAAACAATTTTTTCCCTCATATTTTGTAACTGTAAATTTTGGGAAACGTACTTAAGGTTTGAATTAAATCCAAATTGATAATTGACTAACAACATATAAATAGATTGTTTTTATTTTTTTTTTTAAATTAAAATTATCTGTTATAAACATAATTTTTTAATATATTTATATTATATATTCATTAACCAAAAGATCAGATAGCTGAAATTAATAGTTTTTTTTAAAAATGTTCTGTCTTTTCCTTTTAAGCTTAAACATATCTTATTCCACTATTTCCTCCATCATATAGTAAGTATCATGTAATATCTGTCCAGTTCAACAATGGGTGCTATCTGTACACCGGAGGCAATGGTCAACTCATTTCTTTTTTAACACAGCTAGAGGTGAGTTGATTATTAAGAAATAGATCATGTAGCATTGTAACGCAATGAAAAATGTATGAGAAGAATAAGATGAATATCAAACCAATGAGTTCCTTATTCTATTTTGATCTATTGCATGTATTTTCATTTAAAGTATTGTAAATGAAATAATCTTTTTTTTAAAATTTTTTTTTTTAAAGCAGATAATATCAACATGAAGAAAAGATATCAAGTACTTGCAAAATTGACTAACAAGAAGATTTTGACCCCGGTACAAACCAAATAATATCACGATCTGTCAACGAAAGGCAACATGCAGAAACCAAAGAGTATCATTAGTTAATCACCCAATACCCGAAAAGGGCCCAAGTATTAAAATGAGCGCCCAGGGAGAAGCTCCAGTCTTCAATGACGCACACCTGTATAAAGCCGTCACTTCAGGTTCACCCAGAGACTTTCTCGAGGTAATCAGGTTGGCAAATTACAGCATCGACTCTTTCTCTCCATGCGCCGTGAACTGCAGTTTAATCCAAGCCTGTCACAAAGGCCAGAAACATTTCATCAAGTACCTTATTCAAGACGGCTCTCGTCTAGAGATCAGAGACGACCACGGTAACACTCCACTGTTGATCTGCTCAGAGAAAGGCTTGGTGGACATTGTCAACATCCTGCTCACCATGGGAGCTAATGTCAACGCATTAAACATGAGAGGTGAGTCTGCACTGATTTTGTCGATTAAATCCAGTGGATGCAGGGAGATAACTCGTATGTTGCTCAACTGTCAGGACATAAACATTGACCAACAAGACTTTGAAGGCTGCACGTCCTTGATGAGAGCTTTGGAGAATCTCGACCTGGAAGCAGCTGTTCTGCTGATAAAAGCGGGTGCGTGTCATAGTGTTGAGCGAACCGGTCATTATTTAGTCAATTACAAAGGAGAGACTATGCAACAGGTGGCGGATAGATTGGGAATCGGGAAAGTATTCCAGCATTTAACCTGCCAAAAAGAATTTGGTAACTCCCCTCTGATATCGGCAGCTTTGAATAGGGATTTAGAGTCATTTAATTTTATGCAATGCTGCAACGTTGCTGTGATAAAGGAAGCAGCTTTGGCGGAGAAAGGAGTCTTAACAAGGATGTTATCATCAATATTTGAGATGCAAAGTGGAGTCACTGAGACTGAACATTTTCTCATTCAAAAGTTATTAGAAATGGGGATCAATGTAAATGATTACAGTAAACTGGAAGAGTCGCCGATCTCCTTAGCAGTTCAAATTGGTGACTACAGACTATTAGAAATAATATGCACATTTAAACCATTTATTCCTCATGATGTGTTGGTGAATGTCGTCAAAAGGCAGAGTCCTGAGCTTATCCCATTGCTCTTGTGTCATGGGGCTGAGATCAACAACCTTGACAAAAGCAATGATACATTATATGGCGGCTCTGCTCTGAACACCGCATTCCAGATAGGAGATATTAGCTGCGTCAATATACTGTTGTATCATGGCGCCTACTTCAGAGTGGATCTTGCATTATCTCAAGCGGTAGACAATCAAAACAGGAGATCACTGAGATATCTGGTCGATCATTGCACGGAAGAAGTGCAAAATCTGATTGCGAACCAAAGACCAGACATTTTTCATACAGCTGTTAAAATGGGTGACCTTAGTATTCTCAAGATTTTAACAGAAGCTGGGATTGATATAGATTGCATATATCATTCAAAAACACCATTGATGAACGCTGTAGACCTCAATACCATAAAATATCTTCTGAAAAATGGGGCAGATGTAAATAAGTCCAGAGCATTAATCAATGCCATCTCTGAAACTTACTTTCAATCTGTGTCAGAAAAACACAATATCACTGAAGAAAAGTGCTTCCAATATGTTGAAAAAATTGTAAAGACGCTCATAGCTAGCGGTGCTGATGTCAAGAGCGTTGACTATAGAGGCAAAACTGCTTTGCTTTGTGCAGCCGGAGTCAGTGGAGCAAAGAATATTTTACAGTGTTTACTGGCCAGTGGTTCTAAAGTTAATCATGTTGATAGCGACAACAATTCAGCATTGTACATAGCAGTTGCAGAGAACTGTTTTGAAAATGCGACTATGTTGATAAAATCAGGTGCGGTTGTAAATCAGAGGTGTAGATCCGATCTGACTCCATTGCACAAAGCTGTTAAGATATCTGAAGCTATGGTAAGACTTCTTTTAGAAAATAACGCAAACGTGAATGTTAGCGAGAAGAATGGAATCACGCCATTGTTGAAGTCTATAGGAGATGATGACAATTCTGAAGTTATAGTTGATCTGTTAATCCAAGCTGGTGCCAGCATCAATCACCAAAACATTTTCGGGGAGTCAGCACTTATGAAAGCTGCGGGCAATATGTTTAGTTCACTTTCTTTTAAATTACTTCTTCGAGCTCATGCCAATGTAAATATTGTCAACAAGGGCACAGGAAGCCCTAAAACTGCATTATCTATAGTCCTCAACAAATGGCATCATTCTGATCTTAGTCAGTCGTTCGCGACGGATTTACTGGATCATGGAGCTACCATTCAACATTTAGTGCCTGGGGTCATCCATCGGCTAATCGCAGTTAATGGCGAAACCTTAGTGAAGAGGCTTATTTCTCAAGGACTGGGACCAGGTGATTTACATTTGACCTATCTACCTGTTGATTGGCCAGTAGCTATGCCTGTCTCTCCTTTTGCTATAGCTCTGGTGACAGATAACACCCCCTTGATAGATTACTTCATTGATACCTGGTATTTCACTAGGGGGGACTTATCTATACTTTCTGGAAACCCACAGATCCTTCACTATGTCGAAGATGTTACTTGGAATGGCCATGCCATCCTTAGTGATATTATTTCCCAGCCGCTTTCACTTGCAACTTTGGCTTTTGTACATGTTTCATCAGCCATTGGCTGTGGTGCAGACAGAGTGGCGAGAGTCAAGAAGACTGAGCTTCCAGTCCTGCTACAAGAAAAACTTTTGTTTCATAATAACGAAGAAGCTAAGTTTATCCTATGGTCATCTGAAGATTATTCTAATGATGAGAATAGCCGTCTCCTACACGCCTTAGCTAAAACAACACTCTCAAATGAAAAGGATTTTTATAATTTTGATAAAACTTTTGATAAATTCATCTACAAAACGGCAACAAATACGTTTTTCGATGAAGGCGATGATAGCAGTGATTGAGACAAAGAAATATAACGTGTGGCTGGATGATACCAAAGGATTGTATAATTGTAAAATAAATTTTAACTGTAGTTTAAGAAATAAAATTAACTTTACTTCAGTAATTCTACAAAGAACACAAATTTAAAATGATGGAGTTTTTTAAAATTATTTACTTTATATTTGCACACACCTATATTATGTCATAAAATTAAATGTAAATAACGTTGTTATACTGTTTCTGTAACGCCAGAAATAGATTTATTTTTACATTTGTTTAAATATTTTATATACACGAAATATCTAATGAGGTTTCTCTTGAAATTAAACCCATTAAACAAAATGATATTTTTAATTTTAATATAGACACTACTTTGAAGTTGTAGCTACCTTTAACCTACAGTGTGGAAGCACAATATTTTGAGCTACCCGTATAGTTTGTTTTAATTTTTGGTTTCAACCGGTGGATGGATTGAGACGTCGTACAAATTTTTACCAAAGTTTTTAAATTTTAACCATTAGATGAAAATAGTCATGTAATGTATAAGCTATACTATGAGGTCATGTAATGTATAAGCTATACTATGAGGTCATGTAATGTATAAGCTATACTATGAGGTCATGTAATGTATAAACTATGAGGACATGTAATGTAAACTATGAGGTCATGTAATGTATAAACTATGAGGTCATGTAATGTAAACTATGAGGTCATGTAATGTATAAACTATGAAATTTATCTGACAATAAATATCAGCATCATTCTGCCCCTTCCCCGTATGTTAGAAAATAGTATGAATACTATGATCATCCTCAAATCATGGTTAACCTGTAACTATAACAACAAAAATTTGAGGACGCTGGATGGCTGTTTGTTTTTGGTTTGAGAAAATGCTGTCTTGAAACATTGTTTTTAAATCATTACAGTTTAAAATTGTTAAGTCTAAGTTAACTGGAAAGTTTATAAACAAAAGAAGCCCAGTTTATTTTGATATGCCTTAAAGTAAATACATGTACACACAAAGAAATTTGAAAAATTGAAATAAAAAATTACCATATTTTGTTAACTTGTTTTCACATTATTATTGGAATGTATTTGTTGATTAAATGAACAACTTGCATGGTTATTAATTTGTTTAAATTAAAATGCATGTAGATCTTCTGTAGGAATGAGTTCTAGAATTTCAAATGTGTTCCCATTTCAACGAAATATGTCATATATTTTCTTTGAACAGAACAAACTGCTATCAACCCATATCATTTTATGACAGGATTTTTTTGGCTGGCCTTGTCATGGATCAATCTTAAATACCAACTCACCTACCTACAGATCAATCATCCAACCATGACCCAACAACCAATCATCCTGATTATCTTCCTAAATATAGAAGGCCTATACCAACTTGCTTGCCTACCAAAGTCCATATCTACTTGCTTGCCTACCTTAAAGTAGTCCTATATTTTATTTAAGAACGTCCGATTTCATAAAGAATTATATTGTATTATTCTTTATTTTAATTAACTATTTTACCCCAGCTGAAAACTTCCACTCATGTGGATGAACCTAATGTGATTAAAGTAAAATAAAAGAATGAAATTTGAAATGCCGTGAAACAGGGTGACTTTGCCAAGTTTTGGCCTTTAAGCATAAATTTCAACATGTTAACTGATCTAAAAAGTAACAGGTGCTAACGTACAGAGTGGGTACCTGCACTTTGTTGTTATAGCTGAATTAATTCATAGTTTGATCAGGTTAAGTTGATAATTATGTTTTTTTTTTAGATTTTTCAACCTACCCTACCAATAAATGGGGTGAATTTGCCCTTTTAAAGTGAAAGACAGCACAATGCATGTAGAAATTATAAAACCAAACAAATAAGTCATTTTCTTTTCTGTACCGGTATTTACTGTTTAAATCATAATATTTCATTGTAATGAAAGGTTGGAAGAAAACATTAATACCACTTCACATAAAAAATTATTCTCGGTGATCTATCCTTTCGAGGCAAACCTTCATCATAGGTTTTCGCATTTAATCCATGTAATGTAATGAAAGCTTTAATTTGTGAATTTGTCACAGTAGACTGTAACTCTAATTATAATGTCTTTCCTATTATCTCAGCTTATATCTTTGGCACATAACATCCTCATCTCGTACAAAATCCATTCACCAAGTCATCTCGATTGATGTCGTGGAATCGTTTCACCCCAAGTTCGCCGTCATCAAGATTGGTCCACAATATAAAATTTAGGCCAAAATGTAAATTGTTTCTAGTTGAGGCATTCCAAAATCTGATAATGTCTTTAGGTGCTTTACTAAGTGTACTCTAATTCTTTTGGCAAAGAGCTTGCCCTCCAGTTGTTTTCTTGTGGCTACAGTACAGTAACATTTACTAAGTTCAAAGAGTTATTAAATTAATGGTGTCTTTCCCCTTTACATGACTTCTATAGGCCTGGCAGTAGATTATCTTTTACAATTCACACTTGTCATTAAGCTGAGTGTCTTCAATATAGCCTCAATAGCTTCTGTTAATAGGAATTATCTTGTTTTTTTAAGTCATGGCATTATGATCTGGAAAAACAAAAACAATAAATATAAAATCAATAAAAGAATCAATATATTGAATCAATGTATCAGTCCGTGGGGTGGCTTTGCCCCTTGCTGTGAAAGAAAAACAATAACGATTTATTTAACTTAACTAAGTAATAAACCTTTTTATCACTGATATTTATATACATGAAATGCATAGGCAAATAAATTATAATACCTTAAAATTAAATTTTTAACAGTAAAATCTTATTGTTTGGCATGGTAAGGAAAGCGAAACTGCATAAAACAACATGTCTACATTCATAGGAAGCAAAAAAAAAAAAATAAATTGGGGAAAGAACCCTAGAAAATTATGAAAAACAACTTTCTCAATATAAGTATTTAATAGGCAAATTCGCCCCTTGAGGCAAAGTCACCATTTCGCGGTGAAACACACATCTGGTGAATTAAATGAGTGGCTGGCCAAATAACTTGCAATTTTCAATGCTTCATGAATTGGATCATCACAAGCATTTTCCAAAGGCATTCAATTTCTTGCTTCAGGCTGTTATGAGATTGGAGCGTATTTCAAAACATAGTTGCACAAAAGAAACTTTGAAGCATTGATTATCAATGATTGATGGGAGATTCTAATTCTACCTCACATTTCTTTTATATTGCAAAATTAAACTTGTATAGGTTTTCAAACTTACCAAGAAAATATGAAGAATGCGAAGTTTGCATGCATTTCAAACGCCTCTTACAACACCACTGGCAGATGCGTAGCGAGGGGGGTTCAGGGGTGCGGACCGCACCGGGTGACACCCTTTTAGGGGTGACACTCGATTGAAAAATTGCATATTTACAGAGCACACCCTGCTCGGTCTAACCGAGATTCATAAAAGGATAACCGATCACACTTATATTTTTCATAAATGTAACCACTCCAAATGCGTGCTTTATTTAAAGTTCAAGGTTTATGCGTCAGAAATGAGATGACCCTAAGTGTAAGTCAGAAAAACACCGTCATATTCCACGCCGACTGAAGTATTCAGAAACTTCCGTAAGTGAAAGGAGGCTATATTTATGAACATTCTGAGAAAAAGGGCTTTCCATTGATATCAAATACAGTATGGTCGGGCGATTTTAAGCATAAGGATCGGTAAAAATTAAAAACATTAAAATGAAATTTTACCAATTGATAGGGTTAAACAATATATTATTTTACACAATTTTCAATGTTTTAATGATTGATTCTCATTTATGTGTATTTAAATAAAGAAAAGTTGTTTGAAGACATTTATAATATTATATATCGAAACCCAGAAGTTCTCAAAAATTAATATTTTCACCGATTCGTCACTAGATCACCCCCAGTGGCGTAGCTACGGGGGTGCGGACCGCACCGCGTGACACCATTTTAGGGGTGCACCCAATTGAAAAATTGCATATTTACAGAGCACACACCGCTCGGTCTAATCGAGATTCATAAAAGGATATCCGATCACACATATATTTTTAACAAATGTAACCAATCGAAGTGGGTGCTTTATTAGAAGTTCAAGGATGATGCGTCAGAGATGAGACTAACTATGTGTTGGTCAGATTGTTTGCTGTTCATGTTAAAGAAACAATATCCAAATTAGTTGCTGGCTTTGATAAGTGGAAGAAACTGAGACCAAAATTATAAAATCGCGAAGCACCGTAAGAGCCCCTATGTTGAAAAGTGGTCAGCATTGGCCGCACGACTTAGGATACACAAAACAACTAATGCCGAAAGTATTGCTTTTCTTGCAAAGCAAAATCTGGCATTTCATGGCCACAACAAGATGTATTTTCACATTAAACTTTCTTGAAATGGTTTAGATGCTATCTAAATATGACCCAGTGCTAAAAGAGTACCAAATGAGACGTAAGAGGAGTAAGTACATCTACAGAAAACGAATCAGCATCTCACCTTCACCAGAAACCCAAAATGAAATAATAAATGTCCTCGCAAATCATGTGAAGGAGATTCTTATCATGGATATAAAGGCTACGAGGTAGTTTGGAATTAAGTTCGAAAGTAAACCTGATATATCAGATATTGACCAGATGTCTGAAGTGATGAGATATGTGAAAATCCACAGGGGGAAAGTTGAAGTGAGAGAGTGTTTTGTTGGGTTTTCGAGGGAAAAAGCTGATGACCTCAGTTCTGACATTCTTACAAATCTTAAACGTGATGGACTAGACATAATGGTCTTCAAAGGTTACGATAGTGATGCCACAATGTCTGGAATCCATGGATGTGTTC